CTCTTTCAGGCAGCATCACCGCAGAATACCATTAAAAACTCCTCAGCACGCTCACCGGGCCGGCAGAAGACATTTAAAGAACGTTTCCCTGACAAATGACTTTGGCTGCAGTTCAGGGGGGCAGAGGGGGGAAACCCATCCAGCCCAACTCTTCCAGCAAGGTCACTGGGAGGCCAAAGGCTTGGAGACATTTACCATCTCTCCTAATATTTACTCCCTGGTAACAGATACCGGAGATCGAATCCTCGAGGGAGGCGGGAAGGACAGCCGGAGGAGAAAGCTGATATAACTGCCTTAGGGACTAGACCTTACAGCAAGGTAACCTGGAGAGACCAGGGGGTGACCCCGACACCCCAGCTGAAGGGTGTCACCCCGCTTCAGCCCAGCGACAGGCCCCACCAGCACCACTGAAGTACACGGCAGCTTCGCCACGGCAGGGAAGAAACCGAAGAGGGACCTGCCCTCCGGGGGCTGGCCACGTCCCACCCCTCTGATCAGGGAGCCGCACTTTCCGGGTCTAATCCCTGCCCGCTGAAGGCAAAGGGAAGGCTGAGCTCCCCCCGACAGGCCCGGCCTACCTCGCTGCTGACGGTCACATGGGGAAGCTGGAAAGCGGCCAGGGCAGATAGAGCGGCCGGTCGCTGACCCCTTGGGGCTGCTCCCAGGAGAGCCAGGGCTTGCAGAAGCACAGCCGGGCCGTCCCCGATACAGCCCTCGCCACCGGACCGCGCCAGCTGCCCGGGGCCTTGGGCAGCACCAGCCAGAGGGAGAAAGCTCGGCACAGGTCGGCAGACAAGCGTCCCCCCATCACTCACAGATGTTGACACGCTTTCCAGCAAATCTTTAAGGGTATCGTTGAGACAGCTGAGTATCGAAGCGTGGCTTCACTCTGCAAGTCAGAGTTCGAGGCCAAGGGGCGCTGGCGAGTCCCTCCCTGTTGGACAAAGCACTGGGACCTGCTGGTTCTGAAGCAGAGCAGAAAGGGACTTGCTGGTGAAGTGCATACGAACAGAAAAGTTCTCAGCAAAATGGAGTCCAAGAGAAAAAAAGAAAAAAAGCCTTTATCAAATCTTTTAGGTATGACTGGAATGTCCATAAAAACAAAAAGGGGGTCACACATTTCCCAGCGTCTCTCACAGGCAGGCCTGGTGCTTTCAGCAGCAACGTGTTTCATGACAAAGCACATCTATCAGATTTTTGCAGGAGGCAAGAAAACTTCACACTGAAATCTCACAGGTCTAAGCTGGGCTGAAAGCTGTTGTCATTAAGCAGTGAAAGCGATCCAGGCAACCTACGACCCCACAGGGCCGTAACTCTCAATCATCTCAACTGACAAGCTCGCTCGCTCCCTGCGGGAGGTAACTGAATCCCAGCCTGGCTGTCTGGGAAAAGAGCAGGTCCAAGGCCCTTTGTCGTTTCCACTGAAGCCGCTGCAAAAATGGGCAGGTAGCAGGAGAAAGAGCAAAGCTTATCTAGAGGGAAAAATTCCCCTCAGCTGCGCTCTGTCTAGGAACAAGCTAAGCTTTCTCACGGAGGCACCAACCATTTCACTGGGGTCTGAAGCGGCTGAGGGCACTCCACCGACGGACTGGAACAGAAACCCGCCCCAGGTTACGCTCACTCCTAGTGACAGCTTCAAACGTGCACGACAACTCCTGCCTTACGCAGCTAAACAAAGTGCAGCCGCCCGCTGCTCGGTGCCCTGGTGCCAGGCGGCCAGACAGCACGTTACTTGAACAAACACAAAGCCCAACAGATTCCAGAGCAGAAGCCAGCCACAAGGTCCCAGAATAGCCTCTGCCACGCAGATATGTTTTGTTGCACTGTTGTTTTTTGAGGCTCTAGAGGAGCGTCATCTTGGGAGGTATCTGGTTGCTACAGAGAATTAAAACACGACCATCTGTCCCAAGCAGGACAAGCTCCTGCCCACCCCCAGGTCTGAGCAGGGAGCGCAGCTGTAACGAACTGTCTTACGCAGGCACCGGGGCAAGCATTCACTGACGTGCTTATTTTTAAAACAACAGAAAAAACAAGAAAGCCTTTGTTTGCATCCAACCTCTTATCTCCCCTCCAAAACGTCTGTGGTTTAGGCACAGCTGGGAACTATGTCCAGGAACCGCAGTCCGCACGGGGTTGGCGTTCCTTTCCTCAGCCCGTATGGGAGAGCTGGGGACGCGGGAGGCTGCCCTGCAGCTCGGAGGGAGGGTGGCACCTCCCCACCAGCCCTTCATTCTGCCCGGTCAGCCGCCTCCTCCCACTGACCTTCCTCTGCCAAAGTTCCTGGAGTTCAGGCTAACGCTGGCAGGCGGGCAGCCTGCTCTGCTTCAAGGAACTGACAGCGCTTTCCACGCGCTCGCAGCACCTGCGGGAGCCAAACAGCTGGTTTTCCTCCTGCCCCAGAGCTCCCGGCTCCCAGGCCACGTGCCAAGTCCAGCACACGAACTGCGAGTTGCAGAGAACCACCCCAGGGACGCCCGTTAGGAGAGCCAGGTGGAGGACGGTGCTCCTAAACCGCCTGGCGTGGCACAGCCCTTCTGCAGAACTTGGGCTCTCATCTGGATTTCTGCAAGACGCCACTTCTAGTCCCAATAAAATGAGACTCCCTTTCCTAAAGCCTTCCACAAGGGCAATATCTGGCCATAATTCAAAGGCTCCCGGTGACCTGCTGTTCCAGATCTCGCTGCAGTACTGTGGGAAGGACTGGCAGCCCCCCCAAGCCTCTCTCACGCAGAGGACGCGGG